CCTTGTAGGGGGGGGGCATCCCGTGAGCTGGGCTTTAAGGCGTGTTAGGGGGGCCTTCGCAGTCTTTTGAGAATCCAAAATAAGCCCTAAACCCCAAGCCCTAAGGGTTTAGGGTTTAGAAGGGTAAGCCCTTAGACCCTACACCCCAAACCCTCCCTAAAAACCTTTTCAAAAACCTCACCACTATAACCCCAACCCCCCCCCCCACCCCCCCTCCCCCTCCCCTCGGGATGGTTGCGCGGCCGGGCCGTGCGTACCAGTTAGGCTTCAAGGTTTTTGTCTCGAAGACAAAGGTGTTGTGGTGTCGGTACCGCCCCTCAAGGCCATTGCAAACCCTAAACTCTAAACTCTAAACTCTAAACCCTAAACCCTAAACCCTAAACCCTAAACCCTAAACCCTAAACCCTAAACCCTAAACCCTAAACCCTAAACCCTAAACCCTAAACCCTAAACCCCAAGCCCTAAACCGTTTTCGAAACCCCAAGCCCCCCTAAGCCGACCCCTGAAGCCCTAATCCCAAACCCGAAACCCTAAACCCCAACCCCCCGAAAGCCCCCCCGCCCGCACCCCCCGAAAATGCAAAAGCTTCCCAGCCTTCCCACAAAGACCGGGTTTAGGGGTTTAGGGGTGTAGGGGTTTAGGGGTTTAGGGGTTTAGGGGTTTAGGGGTTTAGGGGTTTAGGGGTTTAGGGGTTTAGGGGTTTAGGGGTTTAGGGGTTTAGGGGTTTAGGGGTTTAGGGGTTTAGGGGTTTAGGGGTTTAGGGGTTTAGGGGTTTAGGGGTTTAGGGGTTTAGGGGTTTAGGGGTTTAGGGGTTTAGGGGTTTAGGGGTTTAGGGGTTTAGGGGTTTAGGGGTTTAGGGGTTTAGGGGTTTAGGGGTTTAGGGGGTGTAGGGGTTTAGGGGTTTAGGGGTGTAGGGGTGTAGGGTTTAGGGTTTAGGGTTTTAGGGTTTTAGGGTTTAGGGGTTTAGGGGTTTAGGGGTTTAGGGGTTTAGGGGTTTAGGGGTTTAGGGGTTTCGGGTTTAGGGAGTAGGGCTTCGGGTTGGCAGGTGCAGCTCCCCTCGGGCATTGGAAGCCAGGGCTGGAAGCCGGTGGGGGGCTTGATGTAAGGGTTGGGGGATTCAAAGGGGGTTTGGGGTTTAGGGTTTGGGGTTTAGGGATTGAGGGTTTGGGGTTTAGGGTTCAGGGCTTGGGGTTTCGGCGTTATGGTTTCTAGCTTAGGTTGCCAAGGGGTTTACTTGCCATACGTTTGGCAGCTAGTGTTGCCTCTAAAACTCAAGATTCACAGCATCGTCACGCCCTGTGCCGTAAACTGGACCTCACTGGTGTGTTGGAATGCTGGAATCTGAGTGCCCAGATGCAGCTCAGGTCCGTGCTTGTCAGAAGTCTCCAGCACGTGAGAGTCGTGACGATATCGCAGACCCTAACTCCCACACCACAGACTGGTTGCTTGCATTAGGGTTCCGGGTTTTAAAGTTTGTGGCGGGTTAAGGGTTTAGGGTTTCGATTAACATGGGACACTTTGTTTTATAATGGGATCCGAGTATCAAGGGGCACCTGCAAGGGGAACCTGACAACCTTCCAAGCCCACCAGAAAGGTCCCCCCCTGTCACCCCAAGGAACCGCAGCTTCCGGCGAATGACGACGCAGTGCGTCTGCAGCAGGCCACACAGATGCTGCAGGCTCGCATCGTGCCGAAACATGGGGGCTTGTGTTGAGGCTGTAAACAAGGGCCGTGGCTGCCTAAATGGTCAGGCCAGCAGCCTAAACTCTGTAACCTCGGTAAGCCCTAAACCCAAGCATATTTTGGCCCTAGCGTGAGGTCTCAGTCCAGCCCCCAGCCCCTTCGATCATCGTATGCCAAGAGCCAAGACGCAGGCAGCCTTGGCGAATTGGGAGGCCGCCAGGGTTCAGGGATTTCGGTTCATAGGTTTTTTCGGTGTGGGGGGTTTTGGTTTTCCCATTGTTGTGGCTTTGGTGTTAAAAAAGGGCTCCGCAAGGATGTTGGTGAGTGTAGCAAAGACAAACTCCTTAACTGGTTCACGAGCCTTTCAAGGGCTCTCCCTTAGCACCCTAAACCCCTAACCCTCACCCCAAACCCTAAACCCCATTCCCTGAACCAGGTTCTGTGTCTTTGCATGTTTCGAGCTGAAGCTGCTAAAGCTTGAGGCTGTTGCGTTTAGGGCCCCATATATAAACTCTCAAACCCGTAGATCCCTTGCATCCCATACACCCCTAGACTCGCTCTTATCGCCTTCAAGCCGAAAAAAACCCAAGCCCCCAAACAAGCTCGGGAGCATCCCCGCTGAACGCCAGGCCTGCGTGCAAGGAAACCCCGGCGCCCGACTCCCAGAAGGGTCGAATTCTTGTGGCGTTTAGGGCCTCCCTGCACCCTAAACCCTAAACCCTAAACCCTAAACCCTAAACCCTGAACCCTACACCCTAAACCCCGTTAGAGCTTCAAGGCTCCCGCTGCCCTCTCCCCCACCGTTCCTCCTGGCGCTGGACCAGGAGTCATGGCCGCCCAAGAGAAACCCGGGTGCTGCGTACGAAGCATGCGAGATGATGCTCCTTATTCTTCACATCTTCTACAATTTGCAGAAGAAGCACCGAAAAAGTTAAAAATAGTTCTCCTTATAATTAAGGGCAATACAGGGCTTGTCATTTTTTGAGGGGGTTCTTAAGCAAATAGTAGTCTTTCGCCTCACATCACAGCAAGCCCTGTACACCCCCTTCAGCCAACAAGAGTCTTCTCACCGGGGGGCGTCTTTTGTTCAGCGTAGGCAGTTAAGGAGGCATGCTTGCCAACCCTAAACCCTAAACCCTAAACCCTAAACCCTAAACCCTAAACCCTAAACCCTAAACCCTAAACCCTAAACCCTAAACCCTAAACCCTAAACCCTAAACCCTAAACCCTAAACCCTAAACAGCTGGCGAAGCTCAGAGGTGTGATTCTCTGCCTCGACATTCGACTCAAGATAGTCCACTCTCTGACACAGCGCCACTCAAAAAAAGTGGGTTTAGGGTTTAGGGTTTAGGGTTTAGGGCTTAGGGTTTAGGCTTTAGGGGCTAGGGTTTAGGGTTTAGGCTTTAAGGTTTAGGGTTTAGGGTTTAGTGGTTCATCCTTGGAGTCGACCGGCAAGCCATGACCAGCGCCTCCCTCTTTGACAGCTGATTCTTCAAGGCAATGTGAAGGTTTGGGTTTTGGGTTTAGGGTTTAGGGTTTAGGGTTTTCGGGTTTAGGGTTTAGGGTTTGGGTTTAGGGTTTAGGGTTTAGGGTTTAGGGTTCAGCATCTCAGGTCCAAGCATTCACTTGTCAAGAAATTACTCCAGAAAAATACCCACCCGCCCGAAGAATCCCACAACATTATGAAAATATTTCACTTATGGAGCGACCTTGCCCAGTAAAAAATGACCTTGCCCAGTAAAAACATGACCTTGCCCAATAAAAAAAGGCCTTGCCCAGTAAAAAAATGACCTTGCCCAGTAAAAAGAATGACCTTGTCCAGTAAAAAAATGACCTTGCCCAGTAAAAAAAATGACCTTGCCCAGTAAAAAATGACCTTGCCCAGTAAAAAAATGACCTTGCCCAATAAAAAAAAGGACCTTGCCCAGTAATGACCTTGCCCAGTAAAAATATGACCTTGCCCAGAAAAAAAATGACCTTGCCCAGTAAAAAAATGACCTTGCCCAGTAAAAAAATGACCTTGCCCAGTAATGACCTTGCACAGTAAGAAAATGACCTTGCCCAGTAAAAAAATGACCTTGCCCAGTAAAAAAATGACCTTGCCCAGTAAAAAAATGACCTTGCCCAGTAAAAAAATGACCTTGTCCAGTATAAAAAAATGACCTTGCCCAATAAAAAAAAGGACCTTGCCCAGTAATGACCTTGCTCAGTAAAAAAATGACCTTGCCCAGAAAAAAAATGACCTTGCCCAGTAAAAAAATGACCTTGCCCAGTAAAAAAATGACCTTGCCCAGTAAAAAGATGACCTTGCCTAGTAACATTTTTACTGGGCAAGGTCATTTTTTTTACTGGGCAAGGTCATTTTTTTTACTGGGCAAGGTCGTTTTTTTGGACGAAACGACCTTGCCCAGTAAAAAAATGACCTTGCCCGGTAAAAAAATGACCTTGCCCAGTAAAAAAATTACCTTGCCCAGTAACTCCTTAACATTTAAAGTATATATGAAAGAGAGGTTTAGGGTTTAGGGTTTAGGGTTTGGGGTTTAGGGTTTAGGGTTTTAGGTTTTAGGTTTAGGGTTCGGGTTTACGGTTTAGGGTTTTAGGGTTTAGGGATTTCGGGTATTTAGGGTTTTAGGGTTTAGGGTTTAGGGTTGCTTCAAGGCAGTGTCTCGGTAGGCCTTTGGGACAGTGTATATTTTCCGTTTTTAGGTTTCAGAGGTTCTATTCAGGGATATTTGTCAGAGGGTTTTCAAGGCCATCCTAGTTAGTATTCTCCATGGCTGCGTTTTCCTTATCTGCGACCTTTAACTAGATCGCTGCTTGGCGTAAGTTTTATCTGTGTGTGGGGAAGCCAGGTGCCGAGGACGCTAGGGTTGCAGAACTGCGCACGCGTCTCTCAGAGTTTGATCGCAGAGCGCCATGACAATGCACCGAGTGCGTGCTTGTGTACAGTACAACACAAGCCCTAATACCCCAAACTCCACAACCTTAAAACCCTACAACCCTCAACCCGGCAACCTTAAACCAAACGGTAACCAAACAGCCCCAAGACACTACAACGCCCTAAGCCCTAAACGTGCTTTGTCGGCACCACCAGTCCCAGAAGACATGTGGAGGGTGTATCGGGGGCCAAGCGTGGCACCGCTTTTTTGCATCATCATAAGGGTCAGGGGTTAAGGGTTTGGGGTTTACGGTGTAGGGGTTAGAAGTAAGGTTGGGGTTCTGACCCTACTTGCCACCAGCCATTGAACCTTCCAGGGCACCTTTAAAACCAAACCCTAAACGCTCTGAGAAGCTGCCAGTTCTGCCATGTCAGGGCGATGGTGCTCCGGGCAGCCTCGCTCGCGATCCTTTCCCTTAGGCACACGCCTCGGTCACCACGTCCTTATCTAGGGGGAAGTTTCAGGTTCTAGGGTTTAGGGTTGGCCCCTGAATCTGGCCCCTTACCTTCTTTGATAGGCAGCCCCCAGACTCAAACCCTAACCCCTGCACCCTTAAACTGCATGAATCCCCCCTGAAGCCCCCTTCAACCCCCTTGAAACCTCTTTTCCGCCGGTCGTGCGACAAGAGGCTGTGGATCGTCGCATCTCAGGCTCGCCCGCACGAGATTCTGCTGAGCAAGTGGGGCACACCCTGCCCTAAACCCAAATCCTAAAGCCCCAAACCCTAAACCCTAACCCCTAAACCCTACACCCTAAACCCTAAACCCTAAACCCTAAACCCTAAACCCTAAACCCTAAACCCTAAACCCTAAACCCTAAACCCTAAACCCTAAACCACACCCTAAACCCTAAACCCCAGAGAGATCTTGAGAGTTTAGGCGGCTTTTCGTCTCAGGCGTTTTGGGAAGCAGGGTTTTAGGAGCTTGCTAACTGGCAGAGTATGAGAAGACGGTGGGGGTTTTCTGTGGCATCTTCACAGCTTGGGTTCAGGGTTTAGGGTTTAGGGTTTAGGGTTTAGGGTTTAGGGTTTAGGGTTTAGGGTTTAGGGTTTAGGGTTTAGGGTTTAGGGTTTAGGGTTTAGGGCTGAGGGTTTTTAGGGTTTAGGTCTACTCTAAGCCCCTAAGCTGAAATGAGCAGCAGCGTGGATCCTGCCTGCCACTTTTCGCCCCTTTCCAGTTCTCCGAAAAAAACCGCGAACCTCAAATCCGATTCTGAATCTGGCACTGGGCCTCCGCTTTTTCCTTTTTTTGGGGGGCATTCCTGGTTCCCTTGTTACCCTAACCCCCCCCCCCCCCCCCTAAAACCCCTAAGCCCCGAAACACTGAACCCTAAACCCGAAAAGGTAGACGCCCCCCAAAGCCCTGAGCCTTGAAACTCCCCCCAAAACACAGGAGTCTCGACACCCTAAACCCTAAACCCCAAAAAAAGTCCGAAGAGCGCAGGTGACGGTAACATTCCGACCCCACTGGGTGCATGTTCTGCCAGGAAGCCAGGAGCTCAGCATGTTGCTGGGTTAGGTTGAATTTGGGTTTAGGGTTTAGGGTAAAAGGTTTAAGGTTTGAGGGCTAGGGGTTTAGGGCTTTGCCAAAATTTGATGCGCCCCAAAACTCTAGGTTTCGGGGCTTCCGGGTTTGTGGTTTATGGTGCAAGGGTTTAGGGTTCAGGGTTTAGATTTAGGTTTCAGCTTGCTCAGCCGACTTAGTCGGGTCTTTCTCATGCTTTGAACCTAGTGATGCAGGGGTGAACTTACTTTCGGCCACGAATGGCTACACAGACGTCACACGAAGCGTCCAGCAATGCTTGTTCCCCTTTCTTGGGGGGTTTAGGTTCTTTGGGGTTTAGGGTTTAGGGCCCTTTATGCCAAAAAAAGGGCACCCTGTTTGCCGCCAGGCTACTCTGCGGTCTGGTAATTGGTGACTCCGACCCGCTATTTCAGGAAGGTTCCTTAGATTCCCTGATGCGATGTATGGGTTCCGTAAGTGATTGTGGTATTGGGGTTTCTGGAAACCCGAAGGCCGAGACTCCTGGAGCCCCCCATGCACTAGACCCAAACCCCTGGAGCCCCAAAACCCTTGAACCCGAAACCCTCAACACTGAACCCGAAACCCTAGAGCCCTGAACCGATCCGGGGGGGGGGAGCTGTTCAGACATCTACTACATCTAGTTTCGAGACTCCAAATCGCCACATAAGCCCTAAACCCCTAAGCCCCCAAAACCCTTGAACCTCTAAACCCCCTGAACCCTCAACCTCCTGAAGCCTACACAACTCGAAGTATACACAGCTTTTTTCAGGCCCTAAGCTAAGGATGTCCCGTGACCGTGTATCTCTTTCTTCAGGGCGTTTGTTTGCCTTGTAGCTTCCAAAGCAGCACAGAGTGGCACTCTGTTGACTCTTTGGTTCGGGACACGTAAGCCCCCTAAACCCTAAACCCTGAACCCTAAACCCTAAACCCTAAACCCTAAGCCCGAAACCCCGAGGAGCCACAGAGCAAGCCTTGGTCGTGGATGTCTTGGCGCCGCAGGCCAGCAAAGCCGACATCCTACAAAACTCCCCCAAACTGGGATGGAGTGTTTGTGGTTTAGGGTTTAGGGTTTAGGGGTTTGGGGTTTAGGGTTCAGGGTTTTGGGGGTTTGGGGTTTGTGGTTTAGGGGTTTAAGGGGGAGCCCCTGGCATTCCTTGTCGTTTGAGCAACGAGAGCCCAAGCGATGCGCTGAGGTGACGGGCACGCCTCCTCCGCAGGACGTGGGCTTAGTAGCTGAGTGAGTACACGTTCCACTTTTTCGGATATTATAATCCCCTATAGACCTGAAAGTGTGCACTTTTTTGAGGCTTTTGAACTCAGCAACTAAGTGGATGAAAGCCCATGCGCATCCTTGC